CCTGCGAGCGGGCAGCGCATTGTACTTATTCGTAACTTATGAGAAACGCACAGATAGCGAACTAATAGATATACTTGTAAAAGTACAACAGCTGATTAGTTCACCGATGCTATGACCTTCATCCATATATTCTAAATACTAAATGGTTAACTTAAAAGCATGCAGGTTGGTGAACGTTGGAGCCACGAAGATGCGAAGTGGGTTCAGGCGCGGTTCTAGAGCCAATATTTTTTTTGGGGGGGGGGCTAGCAGGGTGGATCCAGTAATTTTTTCAGGGAGGCATGCTGAAATGTAGACCGGTTATTTTCTCCGGACACTTAGGCCTCCAAAAATCAACAGGTGGGGGGAAAGACTCGTGCCATATTTTCAATGGGGATCTCTGCTAAATCCTACAATCAGGCAAACTATATTAACTAAAAGTGTACAAGTGCATCCTTCTCACGACTTTTCAATTAGGGGGGAGACCCATTCGAACGTACGGGGGGCTAAAGCCCCCCCCCCCCAGCTCCCCGTAAAACCGCCATTGGTGGGTTATGGAAACGATTTCTTTTCACCGTGAAGCCGGCCAGCAGTCTACACCATGAAATACAACCGTTAAGTAATGAAGTGTACTGTGGATATCGGTGAACACTTTGGGCATCGGGTTGACATGCCGCAGCAAAACCCACCAACAGGACGAAGCACAAGGCTCGCATGAAAGCCATGCTGTTTACAGGTTGTCTTCCTATACCGCTGAGTGTCACAAACCAAATTGCAGTTGCAGAGTGAGGCTAAAAGATGAGATGGCATCGCTTATAAACCCTCGATTGGTCCCAGTTTGGAATAATGCATATTCGACATCTGTGAGGCTTCATTGGCGTTCAGCGTCGCGGTTAACCCTAACTCCCTAGGGGGTGTGCAAAATTATATTGAAATTGGAGGATTCAGGACTGTTGGGGCTATTTGGCCAATGGAAGTTGGAGGTGTGGCCAAAGCCATTTTTCCCACGAAAAAAAGTTTGACCTGTTTAAATTGTATCACTGAAAGTACCTATGACGTCATCCTCTTTTAGCACCATGATTGATCAGTATTTTTTTTTCAGCGATTAATGAGTTTTATTCACAAGACCATTTATTGTAACTGGTTGTCACGAGCATTTACATTGAGAAATATGAGAGGATTGTTTTTTAAACGGAATGGTTATATAGTTGGAGAAATTTGATTACGCTAACATGTGCTTCGCCCGTAAACTCGTTATAAACTTGAAATATAACGCCTCAAGAATCTGAGACAAACGCTTCGAAAGTCCTCACAGAAAGAACTTGCCACAAAAACGTCATTTTTAAATTTTAATTTCAATTCTTCGATTCCCTGCGGAAGACGATTATAACCTTAAAAATATACCATTACTACTTTTCAATTGTATTAAGAATTGCTGTTTCTCTAGCAAACCAAAGGCATCATGTACTGAAGAGGGACACATGGGTGGAAGAGACAAAGGTCATGAGCTAGATGCGTGCATGAGGAATCGTGACGAATGGAGGATCCGTGCCAGGGTTCGGCTGTGGCCGACTTAGTGAGTGAGAGTGTGTGTGTGTAGCATTACGAAAAGTGTTCACGATGAAGTCGAACGTTGAATTCAAGTATTTCCCTGGTTATTTAAGAATAGTCCTTCTTCACTCAAACCAATGTTTCGTGTCGCCACCACCTCAAAAAAAGGGATAACCAATGTCGTCTGTAGATGCATTTCAAAACTGTTGGGGGATTCTTCACATGCATAATAATTGTTCTATTTTTTGTTACCACATGGAACTAAAATACAATAAAGCAAATTTCTTTCAATGTTGGGCAAATAACGAATAACGTTGCCCAACAATGTTTAATCCAACTTTCTTTCAAAGTGAAGGCCTACTTTCTAATCGAAACCCCGCCGAAAATGCAGACTAACAAAAATTATTTTGGATTTGACCGGCATTTTGCGTCTTTGTCTGCCAATGCGTGTGCCTTCCATGAAATTTGGCATTTCCTCCCCTCCTTCTTTTCACTAAGAAATAAATCCATAATTTCCATGGAATAAGCTCACTTTATTCGAAGTGTATCGATACAATGTTGCGATGTAGCTGTTAGCAAAGGGAAACCCCCAACCAGACAAGGCAAACCTGGTAAGCTGGTCCCAGATTGTGCACAATTCTGTTCAATTGATTCACAATGGCTAGGACTATTCACTGGAAGTCTTTTCATACATGTAGTCTGTTCAATTGATTCACAATGGCTAGGACCATTCACTGGAAGTCTATTCATACATGTTGTCTGTTCAATTGATTCACAATGGCTAGGACTATTCACTGGAAGTCTTTTCATACATGTAGTCTGTTCAATTGATTCACAATGGCTAGGACCATTCACTGGAAGTCTATTCATACATGTAGTCTGTTCAATTGATTCACAATGGCTAGGACTTTTCACTGAAAGTCTTTTCATACATGTAGTCTGTTCAATTGATTCACAATGGCTAGGACTATTCACTGGAAGTCTTTTCATGCATGTAGTCTGTTCAATTGATTCACAATGGCTAGGACTATTCACTGGAAGTCTTTTCATGCATGTAGTCTGTTCAATTGATTCACAATGGCTAGGACCATTCACTGGAAGTCTTTTCATGCATGTAGTCTGTTCAATTGATTCACAATGGCTAGGACTATTCACTGGAAGTCTTTTCATGCATGTAGTCTGTTCAATTGATTCACAATGGCTAGGACCATTCACTGGAAGTCTTTTCATACATGTAGTCTGTTCAATTGATTCACAATGGCTATGACTATCCACTGGAGGTCTTTGCATGAATGTAGTCTGTTTAAATGATTCACAATGGCTAGGACTATAAACTGCAAGTCTTTTCATACATGTATTCTATTCAATTGATTTACAATGGCTAGGACTATTCACTAGAAATCTTTTTATGCATGTAGTCTGTTGAATTGAATAATAATAATAATAATAATAATAACTGGATTTATAGAGCGCAAATTGAATCACAACGGATAGGACTTATCTCTGGAAGTCTTTGCATACATATGTGGTCTACATAATGAACCGGAATTAACCCATTATTATTTTTACCAACACATTTTGAATAGAGATATGAAGAACAAGTCAATTTGTTTTCTGCAACACTGATGGCGATTTGTGTCTGTTTTCCTTTGCAATATTAATTAATTGTTGAATAATGTTGGAAAACGTCCATGTTTTGTTGTTTTTACTGAGAAGTAAAGTCCAAAACGTCATAGCGTACACCATATGCGGATGTCGTTTGAAGGAAAAAAATCGCCACCTGTACATCGCCTAGTCGTGTCATTCTCTCTGTAAAACCGTTGCACTGTCCCCACGGAGAGTGTAATTGGCTTACCAAAATGCCCTTATTAATGACAAAATGAAAACTGGAAAATGGGTTAAATGGAAAACAAAACTTTTTTTTTTCAAGAACTGCATTTAAAAACACTTGAAATACAACGGAAATACATTCTAAACGCTATCGATAATGAGAGTTGTATTTGTATAATACTGCTGCATCATTTCACTCGGTAACGACAGGGAAAAATCAACAGTCATCATTTATAGGTTAGTAACTTTAAATTGATACTAACCGGTATTATTTTTGTTTAAAATTTTGCTCACACTTGTTTAAATAAAAACATGAAAAAAACCAACATAAATAACTTGCCATATCGGTGACGAATACGAGAAGGCTTTTGACGTACACGTCAAATTAACCATATGTCAATTGGGATATTAAATAAACTTAAATACACAATACATGAACGTTAGAGTTTGTGTTGCATCAGTTTCCCTGGAATGTTCAGACTATTCTATTACCGAGTACTTCCAGATGGCTGGAATTAATAAGTGCCCACTTTTGCACGCACGTTTATAGCAGGCAACACATCAGTTTACAAACATATAAAGAGAGCATCTTATTTAAAAAATTAAAACCAATAGGTCCATTGGCTGTTCTTGTCCATGAGTTATCAGGAAGAGGAGTTGGAATTCTGGACTGATCGTGCCCTGATGGAATTAAGCGAAGACAAGAGGTCTGCAGGTGCAAACAGTCATTAAAATTTCTTTTTGCATACAGTTAGTTCTTCTGTCTATTAAAAAAAAGGCTTTTTTAATATAAACCTGCCCACAATTCAGGCTTCGGCCTGCGACGGGAAAGCGAAATTAAACATTTAAAAATCATCAAGAAACAAGGAATTCTACATACATGACAAAAAGACGATTTAAAAAAAATAATGTTTGCACTTCAAGGCAGCTATTTTATCTGGAGCTGAGTTTATTCTTAACAAAATTAGTACCTACAGTTGTTTAGTTGTTGGGCGAACAAGAACAAATAGTTTCAAGATTTCTCATCCAGCATGAATGATTCGACATTCTTGTTTGAAGGATTTTCACCAGACACCTAGGCCTCCGTAAATCAATAGGTGGGGGTAGGGTGGGGGAAGGGGCTCGTGCCTTATTCAATAGGGAGCGCTGATAAAATACTACAATCAGGCACACTACAGGGTGGATCAAAAATGAAACTGAGATATTATTGCTAATTGGAACAAAAGTAGGGCACATGTGAATCAAAGGGAGATATCCTCCGTTAGGGTTAAATATCCTCTTTTTAATATCCTCAATTTATGGTTAATTATTAATCAGAGTGGCATCAAAGACAAACATAAAACGAAAAAATAACGTTTTTGTGGTTTCTTCAGTAGAAACTTTCGAAGCATTTGTCTTAACATTTTTAAGTTTTAAGAGTGTTATTATTTAAAAGTGTTGTCTCCTAATCTATTATTGTCATTTTCTCAATGTAAATGCACGTCACAACCAGTTAGAATTACACTTGCTATCGTCCATAAAAGGTATTAATTTCTGAAAATACTGACCAATCATGGTGCTAAGAGAGGATAACGTGATAGGCAGTTTTCAGTGACACACGATAAACCCTTTGAACTGTCATCATGGGAAATATGGCTCTGGCCACACCTCCAACCTCTGATGGCCAATTAAAACACCGCACGTGACGCTCGACGCCAATGAAACCTTACAGATGCCGGGTAGGCATATACCAAACTGGGACCAATCGAGGGTTTATAAGCGATGCCATCTCTTCTCTTAGCCTTACTCTGCAACTGCAATTGCAACTACACTGAGCGGTGTAGGAAGACAACTCGCAAACATCATGGCTTTCATTCGAGCCTTGTGCTTCGTCCTGTTGGTGGGTTTGGCCGCGGCGTGTCAACCATGCTGCCCCAAGTGTCCACCGATGTGGACTTTCTACAATGGCAACTGCTACCGCTACTTTGGCATTGGCAAGAACTACGATGAAGCCGAGAAGCACTGCCAGGAGTTCGCTCAAGTCGGTCAGGGTCACCTGGCGTCCATAACCAGCGCTGAGGAGAATGATCTGCTCCTCACGATGTTTAAGTCGTCCGGTGGAAATGACAGGCTGTGGATCGGCTTCAACGACTTGGCAGAGGAAGGGAACTACATATGGGCAGATGGATCAGCGGTCAGCTACACCAAATGGCGCAGGTCCGAGCCCAACAACGGCGGTAATAATGAGCACTGCGCTCACATGTACCCCAATAATGGAGAATGGAATGACACCGAATGCGACAGAGCTGTTCCATACATGTGCAAAATGACAACTACAAAGTAAATCGTCCCCACAATGGACAACCACGGAGATACGTAAGCACATTTGCCACTTCAAACCTGAAACCCTCACAATCGATACCAAATTAGTCGATGTCGTCGGCCATGATCACCAAACTGCCTTACCAAACGGACACCCACAAACAGTATCATTTCAGAACTAAACGACTGAATTTTATTGCGTAGACTGTTGGCCGGCTACAAGGTGAAAAAAAATCGTTTCCATAACCCACTTCGCATCTTCGTGGCTTCAACGTTGACGAACCTGCTGCATGCTTTAAATTTGAACATTTAGTTTTTAGCTTTTGTCCGTTTCATCAGGTGTCCAGTTTAAGAATGATGGGAATCCGGAAGATTATCAGAATCATCGGTGAACTAATTTGCTGATTTCACAAACAGTATCACTCTAAAACTAAACGGTTTAGTTTTCATTATGTAGACTGCTCGCCGGCTACACGGTGAGAAGAAAATCGTTTTGACTTCGCATCATCATGGCCTAAACGTTTAAGAACCTGCATGCTTTCAAATTATCTGGTAATTTGGTTTCAACCAAGTTTCCAGTTTAACAGTGAGACAAATATCAGTAAATACCACAACCATTGGTGAACTAACCTGCTGGTTTAGGCCTACGCTTAAGCCGCACTCGTATCTCAAAAAATACAAAACCAACGAACTGTGTATTTAAACTTGGGAATGTTTCTCAGAGCTGCAATGTGCACAAATAGTTTTCAATTTAAAATCCGATTCCTCATATTACAGGCTTCAACATCATTTGCTTCAATTTATTGAACACCTTTTTTTTTTTTAATTCATTTACTCTTCAATTCTCCTACTGCAATTAATTTTTCCGTTATCAATTTCTTATCATTATCAATTTCTTGTTAATTTCTTGTTCAATTTTGCTCTTTACTTTTTTTTTGGACGTTTAAAGTTCAATTTCTTGTTTTTTTTATGTATTGGTAGAGGATATTTGTTGGTCAATTCCGCCGTTCAGGTCGGATAAAACAATCAATACACAAAAGATTACGTTAGTGAACAGGAAACAACCCCGGATTGATTTTACGTTATGCAGAAAGCACCAGATAAAGTCAGATCATTCTAGAATAATTTGCAACGAAAAACATCCGAACCGATGCCGCTTTTTATTACCTCTGAGATGATGACGGAAATGTTTCAATGATTTCTTTAAGATTTGAAATTCTAAACTTTACATTTTCCTGTCATCATTATCCAACGATTGAAGGTCTCAAAATAGTTCCAACGTGTTTTAACTTTTTTTTCTCTATCTTGTTCCTTTTCATAAAGTCGTCTATTGATTTATTGCTTACTTTTGTTGTTGTTGTCTTGCTTAGTCGATCTTATTTTACTCCTTACTAATCGTAGATTAAAAATGTTGCATGATAGATGTTGTTCAGATTGCATTTTATTTTTACTGTAAATGTCCTCACACTTCCGGTTTCGACCGAAAGGAAGGGTCACATGATTTTGCACTTAATACCAAAAATTACGACCCTGCAATATTGTATCGATTGCCATAAAAACAAAATCAAATCTGTAGCAGTTGGTTATATATTGATTTTCAAAGATTAAATCTAGAAATCTCTGATTGCTTGTAATATGATACTTGATGACGTCATTGTGTGACGTCATTACCAGGAAGTTCAAGAGTTATTTCAACTGTGCTATATGTAGCCAAATCTTGATTATATCTATCATGGTTGATTTTTTAGCAATTGTTGAAGGTTTTAAAGGTCTTTTTATTGTAACTGCCGATGTGATGACGTAATAAAAAAAATCGCGCATATATCTTTTCTGCATGAACTTCATCATGTACATTAAGTTTGAAGCGATTACCGCAAATCTTGCCACATACATCGAGTGATAATGCGTTTTTGACGTTTTTTAACCTGCTGCTAGAGGGCGCTGTGACATTTTTTGACGTCACCTATAATATATTTCTGAAGAACAGCCTAGGCAGACACTCACATCTTTGAAAGCAAGTTCGTACGGGGGTACTAGTGTATGTTTGATTCCATTTTTGCTCAGGAATACCTCAAATTCTTCTGACCTAAATTGCGGTCCATTGTCGGACACCAATTCTTCAGGTAATCCAAAAGTTGCAAACCAACCCCTCAATACTTCCACAGTCTTGGCACTGGTAGTGGTCTTCAGGACCTCTACATTTATCCACTTAGTATAACTATCAATCATCACAAAGTAATTTGTACCCTCAAGTTCACAGAAATCAACATGCACTCTCTCCCAGGGTTTTCTTGCGTGTGACCATGGTACAAAGGAGATCTTACTGGGGTTATATCTCATTGCACTGCATGCTGCACAATCCTGTGCCATTTTCTCAATTTCATGATCCAGTTTAGGGAACCAGAAATAGCTGCGTGCTACAGCCTTCATGCGAACAACACCTGTATGTTCCTGATGCAGTTCATTTATGAGTCTTTCTCTGTACTTTGGTGGAATTATGTCTCCTTACAAAGTAATCTTTAAGTTGTTCTTTCTCAATGTGTTTTGGCCAACTACGCTGTGTATAGTCAAATACTCTACTGAGTACTGGATCTTTAAGAGTTTCTTCTCTTATTTCCCTGGCGGACACAGGTAAGTCATCTGTGTAGGTGAAATAGTTCACCGGTAGCTCTGTTGCGAGATTTATCTTACTCTCTACTGGAAAGTGTGTCAGAAGTAGTCAGAATCTTTTGGTGTGCGGCTGTCTGACTCTATCACTATTATTAGTCACCTGAAGTGCTGCGCTTATCATCGGAAAAAAAGTTCTCTATTGCCGGTTTTCATGACTCCATGCTACTGAAACAAAAATTCGCAACAAAATTCGCAACAGGTCGTGAATTCATTCACGACTAATTTACGACTAGTCGCAAATTATATTCACGACTTCGCGACAATATTCACAACGTCGCAAAAACATTCAAGACGTCGCGAATAAATTCACAGCTAGTCGTGAATAAATTCAAGACTAGTGGTGAAACATCGCAAAAATATTCAAGACGTTGCGAAAATATTCACGACCTCGCAAAAATATTCACGACGTCGTGACTAACTTCACGACTAGTCGCAAAAATATTCAAGACGTTGCATGCAAACATATTCACGACGTCGCAAAAATATTCACGACGGTGCGAAAATATTCACGACTAGTTGTGAATAAACTCACTACATGTTATGTCCCTTATGTCCCTTCAGGGCCCCCATAACAATTGGATCAGAAATGGGGATTCCCCTTTTCATCGCTTGTCAACAGAGGGCGTTGTTTATCTTGCCCAGCCGCTGTTTTTTCGATCACCAGTCCGGCAGAAATGAACGATGTTTACGTTGTGTTACGTTTTGGTTCTATTTATATTATGTTTCCTTAAAATAGCGATATATTCTGTGTCTAAGCTTATTTCACTGACCTTTTGCTTTACGTTTTCAACATCAGACATATATCAGGTGAAAATTAGGTTGCTGAAAACAACAAGTCAGGGTCTTGGACACAGCAACTCCTTAAATCTCATTTAGCAAAATTAAAATTTGCCATTATTGAATAGAGGCTTGTTTATAAAATTCCAATTTCGAAGTGAATTAGACCTTAAATTTGTTTTTCAAACCATAGCTTTAGACACGTCAGGTAAAAGCATCAATAAAAACTGGGGAAAAATCGAGTGAAATGAAATATCTTGGTCTTAAACCACTGTCCATAGATGAATCTTTATTCAATTTATTGTCAGGTACTACAAGTTGACACGAAAATATGGAATGTAACATGGCCTATAGGTGCTGCAGTGGCGAAGCATGGGGGGAGGCAGCAGGGGGTGTTAAAGGGGTTTTTAACTCCCCAGTTCTTGTTCTCACAAGTGTTTTTTTTTTATTTGGTCACGAGTGCCCATTCTTGAACATCCCGCGAATGTCGGCAATTGTGCCGCCATGAAGAGCGTCACGTTTCCCGACAGTCCCCATTATCATCTTCTTTGAATAGCGCCTCCATAGGAAGATGGTGTCCAGACCCCTCCCGACCCCCACCATATTCCATAATCTTATTTTTTCCCCAAAATCCCCATTTTTTCCCCAGCATTTTCCCAATTGATCATCTTTTCGAGGGTGGGCAGGGACATTTGCCCCCCCCAAAAAAAAAAAACACCAATTAAAATAACAACAATATGGTTTCGCGCCTCACTTTTTGTTTTTTCCTTTTTCCCCCTCTGTTTTGTTTGTTTGTTGTTGCTTGTCCGGGGGGGAATCCCCCCGCCATGCCAATGACCCCCACCCTCACCCCAATTGAGCAAATGATATTTAAAACTCATGCGCTGAAAGAGGCACAATCAGACCACGAAATCATCGTTCTGTCACAAAAATAATCGTGTGTTCGATTGGTTATCCTTTTGCGCCTTACATTGTTTTAGTAATGATTTAGGGCTTCATACAATGTAGTATTACAATTTAGTTTGTCCAATTTTGAAAAAAAAATATAACTGTCCAATGTAAGGGCGTCAATCTCGATGGTTTTGGGGGATATTCCCCTCCCCTCCCACGCACTTTTTAACCAGGTGTGGGAGGGCTATATCACTTATGTTGCCGATCGGTCTTTATGCGGCTTGATGAACAGCGCCACCTACTGTCCCAGGGGTTAAAAACGAGATCGAGTTGGGGAACAAGACTCTGGGAATAAGGCTAAACCTAAAGTGGGTTTCAGCAAAAAACAGTCATGAACTCTGAAAACATTCTCTGGTTAAATTTGACGAGGAAACAAATTTGTACCCCGCGGGGCCTAGATGAGGTCAGCTGCGTACAAGTATGACAATTTTCTAGTCACATGTAAAGAGGTGGTTTTTTACAGTATGATATTGAGCGACAAGTAGTTGGACCGAGTGTCAAACGTGGAGGTTCTACAGCACACTCAATATGCAATCAGGCACACCATCCTCACGGTGCGCCGGCTCAGATGGTTCGGACATGTCTGTAGGATGCCACAGGACCGTCTTCTCAAGATAGCCCTCTTCAGCGAAGTCAACACTGGAGCCCAAGCTCGAGGGAGACCACTACTCCGTTTCCAAGACCGCGTGCGGGACGACTTGCGACACTGCCAGATAGAGAAACGCGGAGTGGAGGAACTTGTTGCTGAGAGAGAAGCGTGGCGGAAAGCGGTCCACGAGGGGGCAGCTGCAGCAGAGAAGAAGTGGCGCGAGGAGGGACGGACACGCCTGAAACAAGCAGACCAAGGCGCGGTGGCATGATCCTCATGGATCTTAATACGCGGCCAACAACAACATCGAATACCTAACTTTTTGCTGCGCGCTAATACTGTGTGATGACTATCTGTTTGGTCACCTAACTAGACTATATAATCTTCCAAGAAAGATTTAAATTGTAAAGCGAGCTGAATACGGCATGGGACATTTCTTGATACTTATTGCCCGTGTGAGGACATTTACGGTAAAAATAAAATGCAATCTAAACAACATCTATCATGCAACAATTTTAATCTACGATTAGTAAGGAGTAAAATAAGATCGATCTTGTAAGATATCAACAACAAAAGTAAGCAATAAATAAAAAGACTACTTAAAAAAAAAAAAAAAAGGAACAAGATAAACAAAATAAGTTAAAATACGTTGGAACTATTTTGAGACCTTCAATCGTGGATAATGATGACGAGAAAATGTAAAGTTTACAATTTCTAATCTTAAGTAAATCACTTCAACATGTCCGTCATCATCTCATCGGTAATTTGTCGGTGGGTAGGTTCAGCAATCAAAAGCGTCATTGGTTCTTATGTTTTTCGTTGCAAATTATTCTAGAATGAACTGAGTTTATCTGGTGCGGTCTGCACAAAGTAAAATCAATCCGGGGTTGTTTTCTATTCACTAACGTAATATTTTTTGCATTGATTGTTTTATCCGACCTGAACGGCGGAATTGACCAACAAATATCCTCTACCAATACATAAAAAATAACAAGAAATTGAACTTTAAACGTCCAAAAAATAAATGTCAAAAACAAAATTGAACAAGAAATTGAACATTAAAAGACAAAATAAATTGTAGGAAAATCCAAGGGTAAATGAATTTAAAAATCAAATAAGGTGTCCAGTAAATTGAAGCAAATGATGTTGGAGCCTCCAATATGAGGAATCGCATTTTAAATTAAAAACAATTGTTGTATATATCAGCTCTGAGAAACATTCCCAAGTTACTCAGTTCGTTGGTTTTGTACTGGTTTGAGATACGAGTGCGGCTTAAACGGTTGGGGTATTTACTGATATATGTCTCACTATTATACTGCAAACTTGGTTAAACCAAATTACCAGATGTTAAATTTGAAGGCATTCAGGTTCTTAAACGTTTAAGCCATGATTATGCGAAGTGCAAACGATTTTCTTCTCATCGTGTAGCCGGCCAGCAGTCTACATAATGAAAATTTGACCGTTTGGTTTTAAAGTGATACTGTTTGCGAAATCAGCAAATTATTTCGCCGATGATTCTGACCATCTTCCGGATTCCCATCCTTCTTAAACTGGACACCTGATGAAACGAACAAAAGCTAAAAACTAAATGTTAAAATTTAAAGCATGCAGCAGGTTCGCCAACGTTGAAGTCACGAAGTGGGTTATGCACACGATTTAATTTCACCGTGTAGCCGGCCAGCAGTCTACACAATGAAATTCAACCGTTTAGTTTGAAGTGATACTGTTTGAGTGTCTGTCTAGTAAAAATATTTGGTGATCATAGCCGATGACGTTGACTTGGTATCGTTGTTAAGAGCTTCAGGGTTGATGTGGCAAATATGTTCTGACGCATCTCTGTGGCCGTCCATCGTGGGGTCAATTTAGTCTGTAGTTGCCATCTTGCAGATGTGTGGCCACACATTGTCGCATTTGGCGTCATTCCATTTGGCATACTTGTACCGCATGTGAGCACACGGCCTACTAATGGAGTTGTACTTGGGTCTGCCATCGCTCCATGCTGTGAAACCGACCGGTGATCCATCCGTCCAGATGAAGTTTTTTTCCCCTGCCTTGTCAGTGCAGCCGATCCACAGTGCACCCGTTTTTTGGGGCTCACTGGCCGACTTCCACATCGTGAGGAGCAGATTATTCTCTTCGGCGCTGGCTATGGACGCCACATGACCCTGGCCGACTTGAGTGAACTGCTGGCAGTACTTCTCAGCTTCATCGTAGGTCTTGCCAGTGCCGAAGAAACGGTAGCAGTTGCCCTTGTAGAAAATCCACATCGGTGGACACTTGGGGCATCGTGGTTGACATGCCGCGGCCAAACCAACCAACAGGACGAAGCACAAGGAACGGATGAAAGCCATGCTGTTTACAAGTTGTCTTCCTACACCGCTGAATGTCACAAGCCAAATTGCAGTTGCAGAGTGAGGTTAAGAGATGACAGACACCGCTTATAAACCCCTCGATTGGTCCCAGTTTGGTATAATAAACACCCGACATATTTAAGGCTTCATTGGCGTCAAGCGTCACGTGGAGTGTTTTAACTGGCCAATGAAAGTTGGAGGTGTGGCCAGAGCCACATTTCCCACGAAAAAAAACATTTGAACTGTATATATTGTATTACTGAAAACTACGTATCACGTCATCCTCTCTTAGTGCCATGGTTGGTCAGTATTTTTCAGCGATTAATGAATTTTATGCACGACACCATTAGAAGTCTGACTAGAATTCTTCCTACACCGCTGAGTGTCATAAGCCAGAGTGCAGTTGTAGAATAGGGTTAAGAGATGATAGACACTACTTATGGTCCCAGTTTTGTATAATAAAATGCACATTCGACATCTGTGTGAATTTACATTGCGAAATATGAGAGGATCGGTTTTTTTTAACCCGAATGGTAAATAACAGTTGGAGTAATTAGATTACACTTACATGTGCTTCGCCCGTAAACTCGTTCAAAACTTCAAATAAAACCCTCAAGAATCCAAGACAAACGCATCAAAAATACTCACAGAAAGAACCACAAAACGTAATTTTCAATTTTTATTTTGCCTTTGATTCCACTCTGCAGACGATTATAACCTTAAATGCAAACCATTGCAATGCATTGCTTCTTTTCATTTGTATTTGGAATTGTTGTTTTTCTAGCAATATAAAAGGTATTCACGATGAACTCGATCTTTGAATTCAAGCATTTTCCTGGTAACAAATACTCCTCCTTAAATCAATCAAACTAATATGTTGTATCCCCTCGACCCCGAAAAACGGGGCAACCAATGCCCCTTTCTTCACAATGTACAAATCGAAAACCCCGCCAAAAATGTAGACTTACGAATATGGCACGCCAAAGCGGAGTTTATTCAACCCTGCACGGCAACTGCCAACATTATAAAATACATCGCAACTTGTCAACATTTTAAAAAAAGGCAACATTTTTATTTTTAAATATGTCATTATTTTTTTAAATGTCAACATTTAAAAACAAAAAATATGTCAACATCAAATTCACAGTTTTCACAGTTTTATATTCCTATCAAGTAAACATGCATGCTTGCATCCGGGAGCGCCAACTTCTAACGATGACTGAAAAGCGCAATGGCCAGGAAATCTGAAAATCCCCCTCCATAAAAAAAAATAATAAATAAATAAGAATTAACATAATAAAAGAAGTAACTTGCTCTTCAGCCTACAAATTGATCAAAAGAATAAACTTAATTAATGTAAGTTTAAAAGAAACTTTTTTTTCATCCCAAAAAATTGTTCGTGGTTTCCCAAATTTTTCTCGATTCTTAGATTCAAAACTTCATCTAAAAACAATGCTCCTGCAGTTAAAAAAAAATTCACAAATCGTCTAATTAAACGAAGCCGTTTATGGGTCTAAAATGAGAACACGATAAAGTATTTGACAACTTAGACGGGACAGATTTTTAAAATTACCATAACATTGCATGTAGAGCCTGAAATATATGACGTGATTATCGTGATAGGTAGTTTCCAGTGATACACATTAAACCTTTACAACCTTCAATGGCCAATTAAAACACTCCATATGGCGCTCGACACCAATGAAACCTTACAGATGTCGGGCGTCAACTATTACACCCAACTGGGACCACGCGAGGAGCGTGATTTGAACCTACAATCGCTACTTAAAAGTTGAAAACAATATTTACGATGTTTCTTTTGACTTTAACCAGCAAATTTTGTGTCAAAAACGGTCTATTTCGTTAAGAGGATGAGACCGAATTGCTGTCCCATCTCAGGTTTCAAGTTTCTATTTTACAAATCGAGTCAACAAGTGGGAGAAAAATAAGTTTCTTTTAAAATAATATAAATTAGCTTAATTTTTGTATCAATTTGTAGGTTCAAAACTAAGTTACTTCTTTTATTTTGTTAATTCTTCTTATTATTATTATTATTTTTTATATGAAGGGGGATTTTCAGATTTCCTGGCCATTGCGCTTTTTAGTCCACCGTTAGAAATTGGCGCTCCCGGATACAATTATGCATGTTAACTTGATAGGGATTTCAAAGAACTGTGTCAGCTGTGAATTTAATAGAACGTGCATGGCTAAAGGGGTGGACGTGCGAGTCGTGGTGTCGCCAACATTCCGTGAAACACCCCCCCCCCCCTTCCAGAATTTTTTTTTTTTTAAATAAATAAATAAAAAACAGCAAAAGCAAAAACAAATGTTTTGCATTAATTCATGAGGCATATATAATTGTAATTTTGCAAACAAAAACAATGCTTTTCGTGTATGATTTCCGGAATATACACCCGGAACTAGTCCCATCTGTTGATAGCTTGATGGCGCCGTGAAAATGTCTGTGAATATAATTAAAAATATGAAACTATGATTTTCCTGCTGTTAAATATCAAAGCCATATAGGCACGGCATGTACGTAAATTCTAGATTGCCAACAACACGCAAAACGCAAACTGTAAGGAGGCCATGGAAAGTTGTTCTCTTTGTAACTATTGCCTAACCAAGGGCGGATCCAGAAAACAATTTTTTGGGGGCCCAAAAAAATTGTGTCTCCCAAAAAGTTGGTCCAAACATTACGGCGTGGGGTTCGGGGCCCGCTTAAGGGCCCCGAATTTTTTTGGATTCTCGATGCTCTGTGTTGCGATCTGAGGCAATTTCTGACCACTTTAACCAATGTTTTTTGAGGAAAAGATGGTGGTGTACTCATTGCCTGCCTTTATTGCGACGTCACATAAAAGAAACCAATTGGTTTCGTTTTGGGGGGGGGGGCATGGCCCCCTTTGGCCCCCCCCCCCCCGGATTCGCCCTTGTGCCTAACTGAATAACTGACTGATCGACTGACTAAATGTCCACAGTGGCGTATCCAGGATTTGGTTTGGGGCTCACAATTTTTTTAGAAGTTTGAATTTTTCAAAAAATATTGCCCAAAATTGTGGGCCGTAGCAAAATAATTGTATTTATTTTTTTTTGGGGGGGGGGTTGATTTTTTTTGGGGGGGGGGTGGGAGAACGGACTATTTTGACGTTGGTGGGGCCATTTACAGCCCTATTATACTACTCGAAAATATGCCACATACATATCACCACCGTCTAATCATGAATAATGATCTTCCATTTATTAGTTACGGTTTATTAATTATCTTAATTAAGCGTCAGATTGCTGCAAATGGTGGTAAGTGGCCATTACATTGTCTGCATATGTATAATTATGTACAGCCTGTCTCAAAAAAAATTGAACAATCAAAAAAAAAATTGGTTAAATATGTAATTTCAAAATAAGTCATTCTTACTTGGCATAATATTAATTAACAAAGACTGGGTTTTCCAATAGTGTTTGTTTGATCTTATTTGCTTTTGTCAATTCAGAGATATAATCAATTTAGTGCAAGCTTCAAACGATTGGTCGGCGTACTGACTAGACAACATGTGTACTTATATCTTATCTCATTTTTTTGTTTTGTCGGCAAACGACTGAGGGCGCATGCGTTCTTCGGCTCAATCGTACCAAACCTCGTTCTCAGGGTTCATTTTTCATTGGACCCTGGAGAAATTACTCCTCACTGTGTGATTTACAGCTTTAAACACATTCGCTGAGTGCGAAGGTGAGTCAGTTTATATTTGTATGATGTTTTTAAAAGTGTCACCGCTATGATTTTAGTCCTGAAGTAAAGAAAGTTGTGAGAAATATTAATTTCAGATACTTTTGCTTTTAATTAGTACTATTTACGAAGTAATCTTTAGGCTTAAGTTGGTGTAATCTTTAGGCCCACGACTTGATTTGGATTATTTACTGTCTACGTGCAGTCGGTAAATAGCACGAGCTGGCAAGCACAGCCAAACGACATTAACGGTAGATGGCGCTATCGACGAGACGAACCGAAATGCAGGCTATGCGATTCGGGCAGGCCTCCCCAGAAATTTCCGAGCATATCCCACGCACGTATTATCATGAATAATAGAGCATGCGCATAGACGCAAAACCCTCGCTGCGCAGACTGGTGCCTTTATTTGTACCGGTGACTGTCAACGCCGCGCGGAGCCGGTCTCGCGCTGAGCTGGAGACCGGTGTCACGGTCTCACTTCTCCGGCGTGCTAGCTTCTCCGGGTAGATTTGGCGGGTAATTGAGCACGTTACAGTGCATGTTACATGAGCACAATTCATGCTCATGTGTCCGCTGTGATAACTTTTCCTCGGGCTGTGAGGGACACCCAAGAATGCGTTATGTAACACTTCCTGTGGGTCAAGTCATATTGCAAGCGTTCTGAAGTTGTGTTCCCATCGTCATTGCGTGTGCGTTGAAGAATAATTAAGAACCGTGTTCCTTGCTCGGTCGTGGTCCATCACATGCATGTCCAATTTGCAACCACGTTCAACCACTATTTAAAATAAATGTGCATCCTTCAAGTCTTTTTGGTTATAATTAGGATGTTGGTTTATAGTTAATTGCGCGCTAGTTCTGGACTCGATGGTACCCTGTGACGTATACAAAAGTGCACCAGTAAAACCCCAAAGAACTCAGCACACAAATAAAGTTGGCGAAAATGAGCACCATACTGCGCAATTTTGTGCATGCGTGTTGAAGCGAAATGTCCAACTTGGAGAAGCTAGCACGCCGGAGAAGTGAGACCGTGACACCGGCCGCAAATATTTTATTTACACCATAGTACAGGGTACCCATTTTTCAGGCGACTTGAATCACGGTTAAAGGATTGTAGAACCTTTTACCTACGCGCGCGTGCGTATACTCTCTCCACATTGTGTAAAAGTATATAATTTTTGAATTGCAGAAATTTTCCGAGCACTGTCGTTTCCTAGCGGTTAGGCATGCTAGCTAATGATCCGAGGTCTCGAGTTCGATTCCTCGCTCTGCCCGCAATGATTTTGCTCTTTTTTTCAACAATTTAAAGTTGTATCTTAAAAACGT